TCATCATCATTATCAGCAGCAGCATCATCAGCAGCATCAGCATCAGCATGATCCTCATCGTCATCATCATCAGTGGCAGAATCATCATCAGCATCAGTATCATCATCATTAGCATCAGCATCAGCAGCATCATCATCAACATCACCAGCATCATCAACATCGTCATCACCATCAACATCAACATGGTCATCATCAGCAGCATCATCATCAGCAGCAGCATCAGCATCAGCATCATCGTCATCGGCATCAGCAGCATCATCGTCGTCGTCGTCATCATCATCATCATCATCATCATCAGCATCAGCATCATCATCATCATCATCATCATCATCATCATCATCATCTGCATCATCTGCATCATCATCATCATCATCATCATCATCATCGTCATCATCATCATCAGCAGCAGCATCAGCATCAGCATCAGCATCAGCATCATCATCATCATCATCAGCAGCAGCATCATCAGCATGATCCTCATCAGTATCATCATCATCATCATCATCATCATCATCATCATCATCATCATCGCCATCATCATTATCAGCAGCAGCATCATCAGCAGCATCAGCATCAGCATGATCCTCATCGTCATCATCATCAGTGGCAGAATCATCATCAGCATCAGTATCATCATCATTAGCATCAGCATCAGCAGCATCATCATCAGCATCACCAGCATCATCAACATCGTCATCACCATCAACATCAACATGGTCATCATCAGCAGCATCATCATCAGCAGCAGCATCAGCATCAGCATCATCGTCATCGGCATCAGCAGCATCATCGTCGTCGTCGTCATCATCATCATCATCATCATCATCATCATCATCATCATCATCATCATCATCATCATCCAACTCCTCCTCCTCCTCCTCCTCCTCCTCCACCGCCTCTTCCTTCCCATCCCTCTCCTCCTCCGCCCTTCCTCCCCCTGGGGCTCCCTGGTGCTGTCCACGTCCGGGGAGGGCAGAGGCAGCCGTCGTGCCACCGACGGGCACCCTCGAGACGCACAGGCACCGGAGGGCCTCTCTGCTCGCCACGGCGAGCCCCGGCTACAAGAGGGGTGCCCGACCTGCAGTCGTCGGCCTGCCCTATGGAACGACCAACAGGGAACGAAGCCCCTCGTTTCCAAGGAACAACGCATAAGGAGCGATGCATATTATAGATCACGCATGAGGAACGATCAGTAACGCCTGCAAGCCCAAGGAACAACCGCGCCTCTTCTTTCCAAGGAGCAACGCATAAGGAACGATACATACTATCGATAGCGCATAAGGCACGATACGTGACGCATGCAAGCCTAAGGAGCAACCGAGCCTCTTCTTCAAGCCGCTCACTGCAGCAGATCTGAGGAGCGGCCTGGAAATCGCGGCCCCTCCCGAGCCCAGGGCGGTCCTTACAGGTCAACGGCTTCGTGTTCGGCGTTTCGACATTGGGCGGAAGGGGCAGGGGGAGGGGGGAGGGGATCTGGCTCCGGACCTCTACTTGGTGCGACTGTTTGCGGCAGTGCGTCCTATGGGGGAGGCACTCCACCTGCTCGAAACAGGCGCCAAAACCAGCCAAGATCTGCTCCAGGGGTGGGGGGAAGGGGGGTGCGAGGGCACGCGCCGATCGGCGAAACAACAAATGAGAAAACGATCACAAGTGAAGGCCAGTCCACAAGAAACCTTCCACAAGAAACCCAACCCTGAGGCCCCAGGACGTCCATGGAAATTTGGCGTGGGAACGTCACGCTCGCCGTGGCAAAACCATCGAGACCCAAGAAACCCGGGGCATCCTGCATGAAAGCAGGGTGTTTCTTGGCATGGACCTCCACTCTACTTCAACGTCTCGGCTGTAGTCCAATCGCTTGGTAGCTCTGGCTCAACGCTTGACCACACCGGCGTTCCGAGCAAGGCACTGGGCGGCGGTGACTCGTCGCAGGCGCCTTCGATATCACGCCCCACCGTTCCTCGCCGCCCCACGCCCCTCAGCGCTCCCTTCCTCTTATGATTCTAATCACTGGCGGGAATGATTGCCACTAGTATGGACAGGACGAACTACTTTATACACGGGATCATTCCCAGGACTATCAGTATTACTCGTATTCGAGCCTCTGCTCACGCACTGAGGCTGTGGAACGATAGCCACACTCGCCCGTGGCCCTGTGCGCATCTGCCTGTCTCTCTCTCTCTCTCTCTTTCTCTCTCTCTCTCTCTCTCTGGCCAAGACGCTCTCTGCTTCTCCATCGGGTGCCCTCTGCTCCTCGCTTCCCCCCCCTCCCCCCCCGCTCCCGAGACAGACGAGGAGGGGGCAGCAGAGAGGGAGGGCGGCTCCCTGGCGCTGGAGGCGGCAGAGCATCCTGGGACGAGACCAGCTGCACGCAGCAGACCGCGCACCGCCCCCCCATTCGGGACGAGAGTGGCGTCATGGTGCGAACGGCTCAGGATACTCGTCAGCAACTCTGCCGTATCCTCTAGCGGCCCTCGTGTCTGCAGCCGGAAACTCGGAAAGCTCTGGGAACTATGGGACGTAGCATTATCATTACCTTTTACTCCTCCGATCACATCCCAGTGCCCCCCGCTTCGTCGGACTCGACCCTTCGCCTCCGCATCGCCGTCCCGCTCCGCAGGGCCAGTGGTGCCCCTCTTTGTTTACCGCCTCGGCCCTCCCTCTCGACGTGCTGCGAGCTCTCCGAGGCCGAGGCTCCGGGGCGCACGTCCTTCTGACGCCATCCTCCCGCAACCTCTCCTCCTCCGCCTCCTCCTTTTCCTCCTCATCCGATTCCTCATCAGCATCATCATCAGCAGCAGCATCAGCATCATCATCCTCAGCAGCATCAGCATCAGCATCAGCATCAGTATCATCAGCAGCAGCAGCAGCAGCAGCATCAGCATCATCATCATCACGATCACCATCATCGACACAAACACCATAACCATCATCGTCAGCGTCATGATCCTCATCATTACCAGCATCATCATCATCATCATCATCATCATCATCACCATCATCATTATCATCATCATCATCATCATCATCAGCAGCATCAGCATCAGCATCAGCATCAGCATCATCATCATCATCATCATCATCATCATCATCATCATCACCATCATCACCATCATCATCACCATCATAATCCAGCCATTCCAGCTCCTACTCAGCCTGGGGGATTCCGCCTCCTCCTCCTCCTCCTCCACCTCCTCCTCCTCCTCCTGCTGCTCCTCCATCTCCTTCTCCTCCTCCTCCTCCTCCTCCTCCTCCTCCGCCTCATCCACCTCCTCCTCATCCTCCTCCTCATTCCCCTCTCGTCCTCGCCTCGTTCCTCCCCCACGCCTTACTCATCCTACTCATCCTGGGGGACTCCTCCCCCTCCTCCTCCTCCTCCTCCTTCTCCTCCCCTCCTCCTCCTCCTCCTCCTCCTCCTCCTCCCCCTCCTCCTCCTCCTCCTCCCCCTCCTCCTCCTCCTCCTCCCCCTCCTCCTCCTCCTCCTCCTCCTCCTTCTCCTCCTCGCCTCGCTCATCCCTCACACCTTACCCTTTCCAACCTGCAATGGCCCAATGCACCCCGCAACAAGGGCGGCAGGGGCTCCACCGTGGCGAGCCTGCGGGGGCCAGCGCGGCAGTGGTGCTGCCAGGTGAAGGAAAGCAGACACACACACACACAGCAGAGCCGCGTCTGGTCGTGTACGAGGAGGAGGAGGACGAGGAGGAGGCGGGGGGGAGAAGAGTGGGTTGAAGGAGGGAGGAAGAGGAGGGAGTACAGGCGCCCGCTCATCCCCGAGAACGGCACAGGAAGACCAACCGAGACTTGCGAGCAACGCAGCGATGAGAAGATTCCTGGCTGAACGCATAGCGCAACACAACGCATTGCACGACTACGAGACTAGATCGAGGGAAAACTTATAAGCCACCTGCCGGTCGCATGTGAGAGGTGCAACCGTCGCGCGACCAGATCGAGAACACAGTGGACCCCAACACAAGGATCACGACAACGCGTCCACTGAAAAGGTCACAAGCAATTATCCGGTAAACCTGACCTGACAAGAACGGTAAGCGAGTGTTCGAACGTTCGTTGCAGGTGTGGCATCACATGGGGACGTCAAAACTGGAACGCTTGTGCGAACAGGAGGGGACTGCGCGGTGCCCGAGTCAAGGATCCCTCGAAAATATACGACGCTCGCGCTCCCGAGGCGCAGATCCCTCGTAAAGTACACGCGATACGCGCCTCCGAGGCCACGACCCATTGCAAAGTACTCTGCGTTCATGCCTCGGCGACCAGGACCCACAAAAGTGCAGCCAGATTCACGCCCTGGAGCCGCTATTACTTGTATTGTGCGCAAGCGGTCAATTACCACGCGGCCCCCGCGTCCACCTTCACGATCCCGAACTATCCGCCATCCCCTTGGGGTTCGGTCCGGCTGGCTTGCAGGGGGGGGATCCGGTTAAACGGACTAGATCCCTCACCCCTCCCAGGAATGCCCAGGATGCCTCCGGCCGTCTCCGGCCACTCCAAGATGCTCCAAGACGGCCCATTATATTTTGAATACGACCGGCGATAACCCCAAGACGGTCCAAGAGGCCTGTAACATGAAGCCCTCTTGGATCCCTCTGGCGCAGTTTTCAGGCCCTCTTGAGCTGTCTTGGGGCTGCGTAACCCGAATTCGGGATAAGGAGATGAAAAATCTAGTGACCTTCGGTCCATCCCGCCACCGTGCTGGGGTATTGAGAATGAGACGAAGTGAAGTTCGTTGGGCTCTCTTGGGAGGCTTCTCGCGGGCCGTTTTGGGTCCTCTTGGGGCCTCTTTGGGGCCTCTTGGGGGCCTTTTGGGGCGTCTTGGGGGCCTCTCGGGGGCCTCTTGGGACCTCTTGGGCGCCTCCTGGGGCCTCCTATGGCCGTCTTTGGGCGGGATGCTCCGATTTTCGATTCGGGCTCTCCCTCTTGGGCCCCTCTTGGGGCCCTCGTGGGCCTTCTTGGGAGCCTCTTGGGCCGTCTTGGCGCCCTCTTCGGCCGTCTTCTTTTTTTTTGTTCAGCGGGTTTAGCCAGCGCCGCAACTCCAACAGCTCGGCCCTGATTCTCCACGAGGCTGGTTTGCTCCGTCTCGGACCTCATGACCATGAGAACCGAAGCCTGCGTGACCTCCGCCTGGTGGCGACTCGTCGTCGAGGGGGCCGCCCGCGCACGCTCTCGTCCGCGGCCGCCGCCGGCGTCCTTGTCGAGAGGGCGGCCATGGCTGCTGCCAACACAGGCCACCCCAGCGCAGCGAGGCAGCAGCCGACGGTCAGGGCTGTCCAGGGGCACGAGCTCGCCCACGGAGACCACGTGCAGCCCGCGACAGGCAGCTGCCATCGTTGGCATCATCCGCTCGAGCCCAGCTCGTCAACAGAAACCACGTCCAGCCCGCACACAGCAACCGCCATCGTTGGCATCAATCGCTCGAGCGCGTGTGACGTTTGGCCCGTCGACCGGGTCTTGTACCCTGACGGCATCGACTCGATCAACTTCTCCGTAGAATGCAAAATGATCTGGTACATCACAGCGTCCGGGCGGGCCCAATAGAACGATCCTGCAATGATGCGCGCCACTCTCATCGGGATGTCGAAAGGCACGCAGGGCTGCATCATCTTCCACGTCCTCTTCATTGCGTCGATATCGGTATGACCCCAGACTTGATACCTCCCTGTTACCTGAGGATACTGTACAACCTGCGCTGATGCGCCAACCATGCCCAGCGACTTGGACCTCTTAAACTGACTGTACACGTGTCGTACTTTCTCTACGTCCCCGCATAGGTCTCTGAGCCATCTGCGTCTGTGACTGCGGTCGCTCTTGCTGTGAACCTTCAGGAACGTGTCAAAGGCCTCGGGGCCCCTCAGACGCTGCGAGCGCACGAACGGGGAATCTTCGGGCACGTTCAGAATCTCCACAGCCCGTGGGCTCTGCCCGCTCAGGACCTGCAGCTGGCGGAGGTAGGGTCCGATGTCGGCCCCCCGGTTCTGCACCCTGATGCTCCTGACAGCTCCACTTCCGAACGCGCGACGGGCATCCAACTCGAACCCTCTCATTTCCTTTGAAGAAATATTCTCCTGGAAGGTAAGGAACACAGAGAAGCCATGGCCCTCGGCCCTCATAGCCAGCGACACCTGTGACATGCAATGCATCAAATCTGCCCATCTGTCCATGCTCGTGTTGCCAATCTGCGCAAGCACGGTCACCCCAGGAGGTCTCTGGCGCGAAGGCTCGGTGGTTGGAGCAGACGCCAGCTTGTAGGTAATCTCGAGCGAGCTCATCCTGAACCACTTGGGGGGGGCATAGAGCTCCCTCAGTGCATAGACACTTGTGTTGCCGCTTGCGCACTGATACTGGACCTCTTGCTTCACACTGATCTTCAACCCACTCTCGTCGCACAGCGTGGCGTCCACCACCTCGGCGCCGGAGGGGAGCACGACAGAGCTGTTCTCCTCCAAGACCACGGCGACACGGAAGGCCGCTCCGTCGCTGCCGCCACGACTGGCCGGCCTACCGGCCGCGACATCGTGTTGCTTCACACGGTTGTTCACAATTATTTCCTGTTTCACCCTGACGTTCAACCCACTCCCGTCGCGCTGCCTGGCATGCACCTCCTCGACCCCAAAAGGGCGCCCAGGCCACTTCTCCTCCGAGCCGCCGCCAGCCGCGGCAGCGGCCGCGCCGGCACCGGCCCCCAGCCGCGGCAGCGGCAGCCGCAGCCGCGGCAGCCGCGGCCACTCCCAGGCGCAGAGGCTCGAGGCGGCCAAGATGGCCGCGGCGGGAATGCCCACCGTCAGCAGACGCCGTGAGTCGCAAAGCATCGCGCGCCGGCCACGGCGCGGAGCCCGCGGTGCCCGCGCCGAGGGAGCCCCCGGCGGGCTGGGGCCGCGCTGGAGCGCATCTGCCTCGAGCCCGCTGGCCTTGAGCCAAAATGGCTACGGAGCCCTCTTCGGCCGTCTTGGGCGCCTCTTGAGAGTCTCTTGGCCCGTCGCGGGTCGGTATTGGGGGACTCTTGGACCGTCTTCGACGCCGTGAAGACGAGAAAATTGTATATACTGAAAATAGACGTTTTCCCATAGGAATTTGACGATTTGGGCCTCTTGGGCCCTCTTGGGGGTGCTCTTGGAGGCCTCTGGGGCCGTCATGCGGGCCCCCTGGAGCCGTCCTGTGGCCTTCTAGGGACCCTCTTGGGCGCTCCAAGAGCGATCTGAACACAAAGGCGGCCTGGAGCCACCGCCAACTCCATTTTTGAGGGGATGTCCCGAGCGAAACGGCCAATTTAGAAATCTGCCAACGCCCGGCCGGAATGCAATCCGGAGCCCCACATTAAGGTTTTTCCTTAAGAAAAACGGTCCCCGCTCCTCGTTCCTCGTTCGCGCTTCCCGTCATCCGTCACGACAACGCGTCCACTGAAAAGGTCACAAGCAATTATCCGGTAAATCCGCCGACCCTGGCTTGCCGGGGGTGGAAAAAGCGTGAGAGAGGATTGGCTGTCACCCCTTCCCCCTCCCCTGGGGCCCAACATCCCGTTAAGGGGGGGGCCCTCGAAAATCAAAATCAACCCTCCGTGGCTACCAAGACGCCTGAAATGCTTTCCAAGCCTGAGAAACGCCCAAAATAGCCTTCAGACGACCCAAGACGCCGAAACAGAGCGCCAAGTGGAACCCGAAGAGGGCCTCAAGAGGCAAAAGTCGTTTTGAATGATGTTCGCGTTCTCGCCTTCCTGGGCGTCTGCAAGCTCAAAACGGCCAGAAATACCTCCAAAATCGGCCCAAGACGGCTCAACTGGCCTCCAAGAAGCAAGAAGGCGCAAATACGCCTTAAAAAGGACCCATAGACGGCCCGAGATGCCTCCGAAACGACACAACAAACACAACAAAAACGCAAGAGGGCTCCAAGAGAAACCCAATAGGGCAATTCCGCAGGGACTGGAGAACCCCCTCCCACAAGAGAGACCCCCACATGCTCCCAACATGCCCCAAAGAAACACCCAGAGAGACCAAAAAGCGCCCGGGAGCCTTGAAAATGCTCCAAGACCATTCCCCAGGCCTTGAAGAGGTACTTGAAGCCCCGCCACAGACGCAGAGGAAGAGAAGGACGGCACAAGTACACGCAAGCAGCACGACGGGAAGTGTCGAACAACACGCACGTAATCGGAAGCCGCACAAATCCTTCTCTTGAAGAAACGCCCATACGCAACGCCGTATCCCGCTTGCGTGCTCGTGGCACACCGGGGCACGCCCACCCAGACATGATCCCGCTCTGTGCTTCATTAGGCACGCCCCGATAGAGCGAGACAGATGCATGATGACGCGTGGACCCAACTCCAGCGGTGAAGGGGCCTTGGGACACACAAATAAATCGACACAAATATCAGAAAGAGCGTGTTCTACCGCTGCTGGCGGAAAACCGGGGGGGGTCACTACCGGTTCGAACCCCTCCCCCCCCCCCCCCCTCCGGAAAACCGGGGGGGGTCACTACCGGTTCGAACCCCTCCCCCCCCCCCCAGCTCATCATGAAAAGGGGGGGGGGGTCACTACCGGTTCGAACCCCCCCCCCCCTCGAAAACCGAGTGGGGGTGCGGACAGTGGTGGGGACGGTGTTGGTGGGGACAGTGGTGAGGGGACAGCGGGACAGTGGTGGGGACAGTGGGGGGACAGTGGGACAGTGGTGGGGACGGTAGTGGTGGGGACAGTGGTGGGGACAATGGTGGGAACAGGGGGGACAGTGGACAGTGGTGGGAACGGTGGTGGTGGGGACAGTGGTGTGGGGACAGTGGGAATGAGGTGGAAACACTGGGACAGTGGAGGGTACAATGGTGGTGGGGACACTGGTAAAGGCGGTGGCGAGGACGGCGGTGGGACAATGGGACAGAGGTACAGTGGGGACAGTGGTGGGGACAGTGGGGACAGTGGTGGAAACAGTGGGACAGCTCAGTGGGACAGCGGAGGAGTCAGTGGGACAGTGGGGACAGTGGGGATAGGCAGTGGTTGGGTCCGTGGAGACAGTGGGGAGAGTGGAACCGTGGTGGGAACAGTTGTGGGAACAGTGGGGACAGTGCGACAGTGGTGGGGGCATTGGTGGGGACAATAGGGACGGTGGTGGAACCAGTGGGGACAGTGGTGGTGAGGACAGTGGTGCTGGGAACAACAGTGGGGGATGTGATGCGAGCGGTGGTAGGGACCGGGAGTCGTTTGCTGGCGGTGCGTGGGGGGGGGTCGAACCGGTAGTGACCCCCCTCCGGTTTTCGAGGGGGGGGGGGGGGGGGGGGTTCCAACCGGTAGTGACCCCCCCGGTTTTCCGGATCCGGAAGGGGGGGGGGGGGGGGGAGGTTCGAACCGGTAGTGACCCCCCCGGTTTTCGAGGGGGAGGGGGGGGGGGGGGGGGGGAGGGGTTAGGGGAGGGGGGGGTTTTGCCGGAGGGAGGGGGGGGGGGGGGGGAGGGTTCCCGGCAGGGGGGGGGGGGGGATTTTCGGAGGGGGGGGGGGGAAGACCCCCGGGTTCCGGAGGAAAAGGTTGGCAATTTTCCACAGTAAAGCGGCGGTGGATCACGCTCTCTCAAATATCAGGATTCCCCATATTTTCCTGTATTCTTCCATTTTCGTCTTCCCCCATCACTTCCCATATTTTCCCATATGTTCGAGGGAATCGACGATGAATTGTGTCTGTGTTTTTTCCCCTCCTGAAGCAGGTCCTGGCACCCTCGATGTGCAGAGCACTGTGGCCGGAAACCATCACAGGCACCAACCACGGGAAACACGCCTGGCCTCGGCGGCATGCCTCGCCTGGTGCCACGGCGGGGACCGCACATTGGGATGAAGGCAGTATTGACGGGGAACGTCGTGCGAGGCGGGGATTTATCCATATCCACCGCCTGGGAACCGAACTCGTGGTGCCCCAGCGGGCGGTGGATATGGATATGTGTCGGCCCCCGGGGGCCCGAATATGTCCATATCCACTGCCTGCCGAGGCTGAGACAACTGACCCTCCAGGCGGTGGCCATGCATAAATTCCCGCCTCGGACGTCAGGAGACCGGAGGGCGCCCAGGGCGTTCATGGGGTCGACCGAATCCCACTGCCTCAAATCCGCAGCCGCAGGAAAGCAGCTGCAGCACGATCGGCGTTGCAGCAGCAGCAGCAGCAGCAGCAGCAGCACCGCCGATGACGACCGAGAAACTTTCGAGTCGCAGCGGCAAGGATTCACGTTCTAAGGCAGCCGAGGAACAGAACGTGGCCAAATTGGAGACAACAGGCGAGGGACTGCGAAGAACCACGCCGTCGGCGAAACTACGACCTACGACGAGGAAATGACGCGCCAAGAGAGGAGAGGAGCGTTGGCGTACAGAACGGACTTTCAGTTTGGCATGGGCGAGGGGAAACGACGGGGGAGGTGGCTCATGGGGGGAAGAAACATCGACATGGAATCGGCGATGCATCGCCCATCGGTCGGCCATAGGCCCCCGAATGGCGAAACTCCACGCTCTTGAGCGGGGTGAGCTATGGAGCCCCCATCGGCGATGAACGGGCGATCGGGGGTCGATGCATTCCCTCCTGAGCCTATCCCCGTGGCGCCCCTGAACCCCCTTGCCTGGATGCTGCCCCTGAATGGGAAATGGGGGTCCTGTAAGCCACGAAAAGTATACCATGCACAAACACCCTCGGACGAGCTGTGCGTGTACCTTCCCGTCCGGGACCGTGTATGAAGTCGCTGGCTCCCAGTGGTGATTTACACACTGCCACCCCCCCTCAGGCCCAGGAGCAATCCAGTGGAGGGTGCCTGTGAATATGTTTTTGTGGCGGGCCCTGGTGACCTGGTGGAGGCAAGCCCCCGTTCCCCTGGGCGCGCCTCCTGCGTGTCTTGACGGCCCCTGCGGCCGGGGTTCGGTCTCCGAAGGGCCCGAACAAAACAAGAAGAGCAGCGCAAACTGTCGGCACCCCGCGGGAAATCGAGGAACTCGAAGCGAATCGGGTGATGGCGACGATGAGTGGGCATCGGTATAGGCAGATGCTCCTGCTCTGAGTTGAGGGATGAGAAAACGCCCCTACCCTGGGTTACACGTGCGTGGTCAGTAAACCTCCTGCGAGCTCCCCAAAGGCCAGAGAGCCGCCAACAAGCCGCGCGGCACGCGCGATACGCAGGGCTTATCCCGTCAGCCCACAGGAGGTTCGGCGTACAGCGCCTCGTAAACCAGGGCAGGGGCGTTTTTTTTCGAGCCCTTGACTGAGCGCGTGGCCATGGCTCGGAAAAGACACGTCTGCGCTGGCTCCTCGCTCCGAAGGTCCGCGCGGAGTTCTCGGGTCGGCCCTCCGCGGCGGGCGGAGCGCGCCGGGGGCGGCACCCGAGGCGCCGCCAGGGGGTGCGGCACCGACACAAGAAAAATCCGCGCGCGCCTCCGAGAGCTGAGGTCGACACAGCGTGGCGCACTCCTTCGTGGCTCCTTCTGCGAGGCGAGAGTTATCTATATCCACCGCCTGGGATACCGATCCTCGTGGACCTCGGAGAGCAGTGGATAGCGACGTCGCTTGGCCCAAGGGCGTCCGAGAATATTGATATCCACCGCCAGCCAAGGTCCTCGAAGACTGATCCCCCAGGTAGGAGTGATGGATAAATCCCTGTCTCGGACCTCTCCTCCAGGACCCCGTACCGCAGGTTCGTGCCTTGACGACCCTGGCGTTGGTTCCTGACACCGCGGGGATCGTTCAACCTTGAACGATCGGCCGTTTCCGAAACGTCAAATCGTTCAACATCGACCGATTCTCGGTCGCGGGCGGCGTTCAACGTGGAAAGTTGGCGGCGGGGTCGCAGGAGGACGACGCGGCCGAGGAGGACGACGGCGCTGCTTCTGGCGGCAAGGGCGGCAGCCTGTCGACACGACGCGAACCCTGCGTACCTTCCTGCAAAGCCTGAGGAAAACGCAACAGGTACGGATACCGCTAACTCCCTGGACCTCTTCCAGGGTGCGTCCTGACCCGAGGCGAACCCAGCGGTGAC